AAGAAAACCTGATTACTCCTTTCTGAGCACGCTTTGCCAATCCGATACTATGACAAAACGTGCAGCTGAGATCTCCCTGCCCCGTCTCCTGCAGTTACCGCCTCAACCTCCATTCTCAAGTTGGATGTGGTAATGAAATATGCCATGCTCTTCACAGACATCCTTCTCCCTCATGATTTTGCAATGAAGCCTCATCTATTCTTTCTGGCCCTGGCCACTGACCCATCACTGTAAGTAATTACATCTACTGGCCTAGAATTGTTCGCTATCAGCCAATGAAGCTCTGCATCTGCATGTCCAACTGCTCAGTCCCACCCCAAGGTGATTACCATCTTCTGCAGCTCTTCTGTCCTCTGGTATTTTTACCCCTGGCTAATCTCTTGAATGTTGCCGACACTGTTGGCAGTCTTTTCAGTCTTCAAGTCCCTTTAAAGGATATGTTCTGAAACTCTGATAACTCTTAGATGGTACCCAGTTTACAGTATTCTATATATATCAGCAATGGCTGGCATAGCCAGGATATATACAATCTCATATATACAATCATAGTTAAAGATGATGATATAAAAATCTGGACTGGAAAAAAAAAGCAGAAACAATAAATGTTGCGAAACAAGAAAGTTTATGTACCTTGTGTCCCCGGTATCCTTCTTGAAAGCAAAGCCAAATATGGCGATCCTTTTGCTGGTGACTGTGTTAAACAAACTCTCCACAATTCTCTTCGTGAAGCGTCTGCGCTGGTAGTCGTTGATGTCGATCACCTTGTGAAAATATAAACCACAAATGAAAGTTCTTTAACGCTTTAAAGGCAAGAGGATTGATTTCATTGTAGCAAGTGTCTATCCCAAATTGGGTTCTGGAACCTCATTTTTCAGTGAGGGGGGGGGGGGGGGGGGGGGAGAATACTCAATGCTTCTCAAAAAGCATCTCATAAAAGGATCTGTTGGGTCGAAAGGCTCAGATATGACAGTTTAGCTGTAAACCAACATAATTTGCCAATTTTCCTTTTAAGGGCTAATGCAAATAAAGAAGAAGAAAAAGGAGGAAGAGGAGAAAAAGATCACCACATCGGGCCTACGGTGCCAGACCAGTGTTCTTCAACTGGTGTGCCATGGTCCATTAGTGGGCTGAAGAAAAGTTCAGGTGGTCTGAATCGGGCATACTGTGCTATGCCAGTGTTCTTGAACTGGTGTGCCATGGTCCATTAGTGGGCAGAGGAAAACTGCAGGTGGTCTTAATCGGGCGTATGTAGCTAGACCAGTGTTCTTCAACTGGTGTGCCATAACCCACTAGCGGGCTGAAGAAAAGTGCAGTTGGTCTGCCAAACTGTCTGTCTAACCATGTAAGGGGTTAGGGTAGGTAGTTTTTCTCTTCCAGGATTGCAGTCTGTAGGATAAACACTTCAAGGATGAAAATGAAACTGATACAAATCCTGAAAACTTTTTTTTTTTCAAATGCATATATTTTTTAACCTAGAGCTGTCGCATTAGCTGAAAATTTTAATTTTGTGACATTTTAATAAAATAAAATTGCTGCTATCAACATTTCTGTTTGTTTCTGTGTTTGTTTAGCTGTTAGGTGGGCTGTGAAACCATTACCCCTGTTTTGGTGGGCCTCAGGTGTAAAGAGGATGAGAAACTCTGATCTAGACACATATTTTGAAAGACCAGGCTTTTGGGGGCGAGTGAACACTGAAGAGGTACAAAGAGATCATTACAGTCTGAGGAGAATAGCGCGGTGTGGAGTTACCAGGGGATCTAGCCGATGCTCAACACTCAAAGAAAAGGTTAGATGGATGTACAATCAGACAGTTACTGCTACCAATGGAATTGGAATTCTTTGCTTGCTGCTGAAAATGGGGGACAGAGCGCTTATGGGAGTGTCAATCCTTAATTCAACATTTGTTTTTAAAGACCAACCAGCACTAGATGGGTGACGGATATCTTCTTGGAACCCATTTTAGGCTGACATGGAAGAAATGAGCAGAGAGTAGCCAAACAGGCACTATAATGGGAAGCAATAAGAGTAGGATGTGAGGATGTCCAAAAGAAACTTTCAAATGATTGTTGACGAGAGAGGCCAAAGGTGCTGGACTGGATTCCATTCATGATTTTGAAGTGACTGTGCAGGACAGAAGAGAATGGAGGTATAGACTGTGAGCCCTATGTGACGTACAAGGTGACATAAAATGGCACAACAGGACAATGAATGTGAGGACTTAGAAACCAAGGTCATTCTATACAAAATCTGCCACAAAATGGAACAACAGACAAGCACCTAGCCACTGGTCCTTACAGAGGAGCTGTTGAAAATTCCAGAACACAGACATACAAATACACCCACCTGCTGCCAGTATGCTGCCACTTCTGGAAGATTCAGACACTCACACAAGTAAACCATGTTCAACACATCCTTCTGGAAACAGCTGCCGCCAAAACCTAATCAAACAAAGCAAGTGAATAAAAACTTGTTGAAAATTGTTGAATAAAGATTAACAAACACGTACTCCCCCGTGTGGGTTCTGGGGCCCTATTATAGGGAAAACAAGAATAGACCCACTGACTCCCAAAAGCATGTCATTAGAGTCGCCTAATTGGGAGCTTCCTTCGAAGTCGGAGTGCATCTGTCTGAGAGGAAAGGAACCAAAAGTCTGCATACAGATTAGTCAGATCTGTCAAACGGATGCACAAGCCACACTCAGGCTCTGAAATAGGACTGCAGTCCAGAAGTGGACAAACAACCAGAACTTTCTGCTGGAGTTTACAGCCGGTGAATGTGAAGAAGAAGAAGAACAAACACATACAACTCATTAAAAGTACTCAAAACTCAAGTTCCAGAACAAGATTACATTTCAGAAGTTGATGAACAACCAGAACTTTCCACCAGAATTTACAGCTGGTGAAAGCAAAGAATAAGCAGCTGAACAAAGAAGAATAAGAATCGACCAGAATTAATTTTTTTACTGTATACTAAAAATGTGTCAAACGTTTCTGTGAAAACTGACCTATACTGGCTTTCAGAAACTTTGGTCCTATCCTAGAGTCTGTACCGATGGCATGTGCCACCTCGTCCACGTCTGCTCCGGTGGCCTCACAAATGGCGGACATTGCATTGATGCTAGAGATTCTCTGGGCCAGGAATGCATTTGCTGCCTGTGGATGTGGCAGGAAAAATCATATGATAAACTGGAGAGAGTCTGGGGGGAGAAAGAGAAGTAAGAGAGATGGGAGGAATAGTGAGATACTGTGAGTAAGTAGATACACGATTCTTTGAGCGGGGAATGCATTTGCTGCCTGTGGATGTGGCAGGAAAAATCATATGTTAAACTGGAGAGAGTCTGGGGGGGGGGGGGGAAAGGGGAGTTGGGAGGAAGATAGAGAAGTAAGAGAGAGGGGAGGAATAGTGAGATACTGTGAGTAAATACATACATGATTCTTTGAGCTGGGAATGCATTTGCTGCCTGTGGATGTGGTGGTAAGCTATACAACATGGTCAACTGAAAGTGAATAGAGAAAAAGAATACAGGGGGGGAGAGAACAGGGGAGAGAGTGTGGGAGAAATAGAGAGACAGATAGGGGAGGAGATAATCAGAAACTGTGTATATATGTGATTCTTTGAGTGCGGGTAGGGGAGACATAAAGTGATGAATATATATATAAATACATTTACATATTTATGTATAAATAGAGAGAGAGACAGACAGACAGACAGAGAAAGACAGAAAGGAGAGAAAAATCAAAATAATAGGCAGCGCAGGTAAGAATAACTTCACTAAAATATTATCTGTAGACAAATATAACCTAAAATTCTAAGCGTACCAGTTTGGAAAGTTCCGACGACCAGGTGTTCATTGTGATGATGTTCTCCGAAGGCACCCAGTGTTCATATATCCAGCAAAGTGCCCTAACAGCTTCTAGACCTTCTGGACTTTGGTCCCCACCAATCAACACTCTGTCGGGACGTAGCAGGTCTGATATGGCTGTTCCCTCTGCTAAGAATTCAGGATTGGACAAAACCTAGGGGGAAAAAAAAGACATTGTGTAAATTACATAAAATCGCATTGGTGAGGTATAGAGGTGATGTTTGTCCATCACGAGTGATGAAGACAACTTTTTAATCCAAAGTAGTAGTGCTCAATGATTATGAGTACAAAGGTGGCTGATTAGTCCATTCTGAGCCTGGAAAGTTCTTGAGCAGTGCGGACAACAGGTGGAAGCAGCAGTAAATCTAGGATTAGCAATACGGTTCTTTCTAGTCTGCCTCTGTTTCTCTGCCTGTGCAACCTCCGCTGCCTGGCAGGCCGATGAACCATGTCTGAGGGACGAACACCATCCAGAACGGTCTTGTGCAGCAGCTTCACACAACGCTGTGTTGATGTCAAAAGAACTGAGAGCAGTTTTGAGTGTCCTTATAGCGTTCTGAGTGTGAGTCCACATACCCACTAAAACAATGTGTCTAGGTTTAATCCTTTGCAGTGGCGAAATCCCCCCCCCCCCCCCCCCCCCCCCCCCACCAGTAAGGTTCAGGTCACTAAGAATGAAATACAACTACAAGAAATAATGCATATAATTGTAACATAAAATCAAAAGTTTTAACAGAAGAAAAACAGAAGTTACTATTCTTCTTGTTCTTCACTTTTACTGGCTGTAAACTCAGCAGAAAGTTCTAGTAGTTTGTCCATCTCTGGACTTTAGCCTTGTTTGAGAACCTGAGTGTTGCATACACATCCATTTTACAGATCTGACTTATTTGTATGCAGATTGTTGGTTCCATGCCATTTCAGATAGATGCACTCCAACTTCAAATGAAGCCCTCAATTAGTTGACTCTTATGACATGCTGGCTGGGGAGGCAGTGAGTCTGTTCTTGTTTTCCCATAATGGAGCCCTGGAACCCACACAGGAAACAGAAGTTACTGCAGTTAAAAAGACAATATTATGGCTACAAAGAATACAAACACTCCAAGCCATTGTGACATGAACTTATCAGAAAGATCCAAACCTGGTACTTAACTCCTGGCTTCACATTAGCGGACAGAATGTTGGAAATACTCTCAGCTGCTTTGACCGGAACTGTGCTCTTCTCCACCACAATTTTAGAGTTCTGGGCCACGTCTGCAATTCTTCTGGCAGCTGACTCGATGTACTTCAAATCTGCTGCCCTTCCCTGCATTCATAAACAAAATTGGTTTAAGGTTTTAGGTTTGAACAATGGATCAACATCATGGCATACGGGTAGTAACCCATAAGTGCTCCGTTCTTCTTCTAACTCAAGTCTGAGCCCGAAGAATCTCAGCGCAGTGCACTACAGAGGCTCTGTAGCACCAGCGAGGATCCTGAAATACTTTTGGTAGATTTTTAACTCAAAATATTTCCCAGGCAGCGCCATTAGGCTACTCTTTACGATTTCCAACTCCCAAGGGATTTTTTTATGTGCGCAACAATGCACACTGGTATCCGATCTCATTACCTAGAGACTCAGGGAATTATTAGAAGTCCAAGTCCATGTGAAAAAATTCCAGCCCTTACCAGGGAAGAATCCAGAACCTCTAGCACTCGACATAATAATAGTAATTCTTTTCCGAATCAATCATCACCGGAGCTAGGCTTTGTGTGACACTTTCAGCAGTCGGCTAGCCATTCTGCAGAGAGACAGAGCTATACGAGATAAAACCAAGTGCAATGAAGTCAATCCTCTGACCATTAACCATTATCTCCTCCTGTCTCAACTGTTATTTTTTCTACTCCTCCTCCCACTTCTCATGTTCTTCAATCTTTTATCTCCCATTTGAGCATAACCCTTAAAAAAAAAACACACAACACACACAAACAAGCCAAGCTATATATAAATTTGTTAATGATGGATTTTTATGGACATATAGTGATCCCATGAATGTAAAGGTCTTGCTTTAAGATTTGCTTTAAGGGTTGGTGGAAACATTGTATTGTGATTGACAGCAAGGCTATGACTCTATACTCCTATCTAGGGGACCATTAAAATGTAAATTAGCAGGAAAATGAGAGGTAGAAGTCACATGGCTATGAATATTAAGTTACCCAGAGGATGTTTTTTTTTTTAGGTCAGGATGAAATTGGTTCCTAGCTGAGAACCAGGGATGGGGGTGACAAGACATAATTAATTCCTGAGTACAGGTAGATTTATCTGAGAGGAAAGTGTGTGAGTGTTATCAGGGATAGAGAGTGTGTGGGTGTTATCTGGGATAGAGTGTGTGGGTGTTATCAGGGATAGAGAGTGTGTGGGTGTTATCTGGGATAGACAGTGTGTGGGTGTTATATGGGATAGAGTGTGTGAGTGTTATCAGGGATAGAGAGTGTGTGTGGGTGTTATCTGGGATAGAGAGTGTGTGGGTTTTATCAGGGATAGAGAGTGTGTGGGTGTTATCTGGGATAGAGAGTGTGTGGGTGTTATCTGGGATAGAGTGTGTGAGTGTTATCTGGGATAGAGAGTGTTTGGTGTTATCTGGGATAGAGTGTGTGGGTGTTATCTGGAATAGAGAGTGTGTGGGTGTTATCTGAGATAGAGAGTGTGTGTTATCTGGGATAGAGAGTGTGTGGTATCATCTGGGATAGAGTGTGTGTGGGTGTTATCTGGGATAGAGTGTGTGTGGGTGTTATCTGAGATAGAGAGTGTTTGGTGTTATCAGGGATAGAGTGTGTGGGTGTTATCTGATATAGAGAGTGTGTGGGTGTTATCTGGAATAGAGAGTGTGGGGGTGTTATCAGGGATAGAGAGTGTGTGGGTGTTATCTGGGATAGAGTGTGTGTGGGTGTTATCTGGGATAGAGTGTGTGTGTGGGTGTTATCAGGGATAGAGAGTGTGTGGGTGTTATCTGGGATAGAGTGTGTGTGTGGGTGTTATCAGGGATAGAGAGTGTGTGGGTGTTATCTGGGATAGAGTGTGTGGGTGTTATCTGGGATAGAGTGTGTGGGTGTTATCTGGGATAGAGTGTGTGGGTGTTATCTGGGATAGAGTGTGTGGGTGTTATCTGGGATAGAGTGTGTGAGTGTTATCTGGGATAGAGCGTGTGTGTGGGTGTTATCAGGGATAGAAAGTGTGGGTGTTATCTGGGATAGAGAGTGTGTGGGTGTTATCTGGGATAGAGTGCGTGTGTTATCTGGGATAGAGTGTGTGTGTTGGTGTTATCTGGGATAGACAATGTGTGGGTGTTATCAGGGATAGAGAGTGTGTGGGTGTTATCTGGGATAGAGAGTGTGTGGTGTTATCTGGGATAGAGTGTGTGTGGGTGTTATATGGGAAATAGAGTGTGTTGGTGTTATCTGGAATAGAGAGTGTGTGGGTTTTATCAGGGATAGAGAGTGTGTGGGTGTTTTCTGGGATAGAGAGTGTGTGGGTGTTATCTGGGATAGAGAGTGTTTGGTGTTATCTGGAATAGAGTGTGTGGGTGTTATCTGGAATAGAGAGTGTGTGGGTGTTATCTGGGATAGAGAGTGTGTGGGTGTTATCTGAGATAGAGAGTGTGTGGGTGTTATCTGAGATAGAGAGTGTGGGGGCGTTATCAGGGATAGAGAGTGTGTGGGTGTTATCTGGGATAGAGAGTGTGTGGGTGTTATCAGGGATAGAGAGTGTGTGGGTGTTATCAGGGATAGAGAGTGTGTGGGTGTTATCTGGGAAAGAGAGTGTGTGGGTGTTATCTGGGATAGAGAGTGTGTGGGTGTTATCAAGGATAGACAGTGTGTGTGTTTATCTGGGATAGAGTGTGTGTGGGTTTATCTGGGATAGAGTGTGTGTGTTTTATCTGGGATAGAGAGTGTGTGGGTGTTATCTGGGAAAGAGAGTGTGTGGGTGTTATCTGGGATAGACAGTGTGTGGGTTTATCTGGGATAGAGTGTGTGTGGGTTTATCTGGGATAGAGTGTGTGTGTTTTATCTGGGATAGAGAGTGTGTGGGTGTTATCTGGGATAGAGTGTGTGTGTGTTATCTGGGATAGAGAGTGTGTGGGTGTTATCTGGGATAGAGAGTGTGTGTGTTTCATCTGGGATAGAGAGTGTGTGGGTGTTATCTGGGATAGAGAGTGTGTGTGTTTTATCTGGGATAGAGAGTGTGTGGGTGTTATCTGGGATAGAGTGTGTGTGTTATCTGGGATAGAGAGTGTGTGGGTGTTATCTGGGATAGAGAGTGTGTGTGTTTTATCTGGGATAGAGAGTGTGTGGGTGTTATCTGGGATAGAGTGTGTGGGTGTTATCTGGGATAGAGAGTGTGTGGTGTTATCTGGGATAGAGTGTGTGGGTGTTATCTGGGATAGAGAGTGTGTGGGTGTTATCTGGGATAGAGAGTGTGTGGGTGTTATAATGTATAGACAGTGTGTGGGTGTTATCAGGGATAGAGAGTGTGTGGGTGTTATCTGGGATAGAGAGTGTGTGGGTGTTATAATGTATAGACAGTGTGTGGGTGTTATCAGGGATAACAAGTTTGTCTCAAATAGTTCAGAGTTAATTATATTGGTGTAATAGGATTGTAAGTTGTTAGAATAGAAACTATGAGAATGAATTTGTGAGTACAGGGATTGCATTACTCTGTTATAACAGGTGGATTTAATTATAAGACCTAATTAGAAATTGGGCATAGAATTCAGAGGTAGAGTCAGTGGCAGGGCTACCAATACTGAGTTATTCCCCCCCCCCCCCCCCACCTCCCAGATCTGCGTTTTTATTTGACACCTTGGGCTCAAATGTTAAAATCTTGGGTTTAAAAAAATATATCCTTATATAAAAAGGGGTAAATGTTTCGTTTCGTAACAAAAAATGTTGTACTTTTTTACAATCAGGGTTGTTCTTATTTTGTTTTTTGTTCTGTGCTAATGTATTGCTTGGGTTTTTATTCAGCTTAGCTGGGTTTAAAATAAATTCCATTGGCAGCCCTGGTCAGTGGTGACACAGTTGAGATTTTAGAACCTTCCAGGTCGGACACTGTTGTTTCCGCGGGTTTGCAGAAATATATATAAGACTTATATATAAGACTGCGATCTGTTCTCTTGATGAGGATGTTGTATTATTGTTTCTCTTCGTGAGGATTTTTGTGTTACCACAGTTAACGGATGTATACTGACAAGAGTGTGTTAACTGTTAAGATCACCGGTCAACAGAATAAAGAATTATTATCGTACATATAGTATCATCATCATCTTGTGCATGTAGTTCCTGTGAATGATTTTAAAGTTTATGTGGCCTGTCACAAGTCATTATTATTGACTCTTCAAGATAGCCACAGTTGTATTTGTGGCTGTTTGGCCAAGTGTGAACAGGTGTTAAAGTATGCAGGACTGCAAGTATTAGCTCGAAGAAGGATCCAGCGACATACCTGTGTAGACCTACATACTTGGTTGGTTTACAGGTACTAAGAAGTATCAATGCAGAAACATAAAGATTAAATAAACTCATATCAACAAGGGCTAGTTACGCCCTAGTTCCCCCATAGTCTACACAGGAGGTTATATAAGAGTACAACAGACACCTTTCAGCCCAAAATATCCAATTTCAACAAACCCTCTAGTTAGTTACCTTTTTCATCATGCTTCTTAGGACTCTGAAACCTATTTTAAGAGCTTTATATATATATATTCCCATATGAGTTCCAGGAGCTCACTGGGGGGGGGGGGCGAAGAGAGGGGGGTGGGAATAGAAACTATCCCTTTCCAACCCAAACAGGCATGTTTTAAAGGACAAGGAACCAAAAGTCTGCACACAAACAAGCTAGATCTGTGCACACAAAAACTGGACCAAGACCAAAGTCCTTCTTCTTCTGTGTTCAATGGCTGAAAACTCAAGCTGAATTTTGTCCACTTGGACTTTGGCTTTGTGCCAGGACCCCAGTTTTGTGTGTACATCCATTCTACTGGATTATCTATGTGCAGTTGGTTGTTTCTTACCACTCGGGTAGATGCACTCTGACTTCAAAGGAACCTCCCAGTTAGTTTACTCCTATGACATGCTTGTTGGAGAGGCAGTAGGTCTGTTCTTATTTTCCTACTACAATGGAGCTTTGGAACCGACAAAGAAAACTGAAGTCCAGAAGTGGATGAACAATCAGAAGTTTCAGCTGGATTTTACACCCAGACGAAGGCCAAGAAGAACAGGAAGATAAACAGAAATCATACCACTGTTCCTTTTGTTTGGGCTAGTAGCATTTTCCTGAAAGCAGCATTAGTCTAACTGTCGATGAGGGTTTGTTGTAACCCTCAACTCCAAGTCAATTTTAATTGGATCCATGTTAGACTAGATCTTATTATCCATGTCATGGCATCTCTTACTGGCCATTTTAGAGCTGGACCATGGAAAGTCCATGTCAGCAGAGCAGAATTTTGGCCAATTCTCCAAGAAGAGGGCAATCAAGCCCCTAAACTGCTTGCTAAATCCATCAATGTTGTTGCATCTTCAGTCTTTAAAAACGTCCAACATTCCAAGCAAGTCACCTCAAACTGAACAAACAACACTTAAACCATCTTGGCTGTCTTGACTCTTATTTCAGCACTTTCAACAGAATCAATCAACAACAGACACAATGCAAACATGCAGACCGGATTGCAACGGTCAGAAACGAGCAGTACACCAAGTGCAAGAGGAAGTGTATCAATCAACAATAAACTAGCATAGCTGAGGAAGTGCAAGAAGAAGTGCATCAATCAATGATAAACTAGCACAGCCATTGTAGGCTGACAGATTTCTTTCAGAGGAGAAAGAGCATATTTGGACATGTCTGCAGTTCAAAATGATAATTTACACTCAACCGAACTGAACAGGAAAATCATCATATTCACTGAATACTCTTTACTTATATCACATGACATCTTCATTGAATGCTCTTTACTTAAATCAGATGCTATTTTTATTTATTACTTTTATTACACAGTTTTCCTGAGCAAACTGATACAGTTTGGTAAATAGAGTTACCAATTATTTACATTTGCCAAAGAGGTGCCTGAGCGCTAGTAGGATGAAGAAACAGGGAGTGGACATAAGACAAGGGTTAACCAAGTCTGTGATGAAAATGTTAATGCTAGGAAGTGATCAAGATGCTAAAGCAGGTGGTTGACCAACATTTTAAAGCAGGAAAATGACCAAGATGTAAAGACAGGGAACTGACCAAGATGTCAAGGCAGGAAATTGATCAAGATGTAGAGACAGGGAATTGACCAAGATATCAAGGCAGGGAATTGACCAAGATATCAAGGCAGGAAATTGACCAAGATATCAAGGCAGTGAACTGACTAGATGTCAATGTAAGGCAGTTGACCAAGAGGCGAAGATAAGTTGATAACAATAATGAAGCAAGGTACTGATACAAGATATTAAAGAATATGACAAAGGATCGGCCCAAAAACAAGCCAAGGAGCAAATATTTAATGTGGCTGTCATGAGATTAATCTTGCGTAATATTAAAATATGCATATCTATTTTTTTCCCATAAATTACAAGAACTGACAGAATATTATAAGTTGTAGTCTCTTGCAGTAGATTCAGAAAGTGAGACAATACATAATGATTATTTTCATTTGTGTGTGTGTGTTAAAACTCCAAAGCATACCTTGCCCCAGCCGAATGTTTTTGTTGGTGTGTTCACACAAATAAAAATCAGCTCTGCTTCTAGAATCCCTTTTTCAACATCTGTGGAGAAGAACAGATTGCGTCCTCTGCAAGCTTTCACTACTTCGTCCAGATATGGCTGAAATGGTTGAGAAGAGCATAAAGTGATGGCATACAGAAAGTACTAAAGTATAAAAAACATACACAAATGATGAAAGTAATAAAAGTAGAAGATGATAAGATTTGAAGAACAACAAAAGTAAGAACAGCAAAAGTACGGAAACAATAAAAGTACAAGATGATAAGATTGAAAGAACAACAAAAGTATGAAACACAAAATGATGAAATTAATAAAAGTAGAAGATGATAAGATTTGAAGAACAAAAGTAAGGAAAGCAAAAGTGCAAAAACAATAAAAGTACAAGATGATAAAATTGAAAGAACAACAAAAGTATGAAACACAAAAGTATGAAAACAATACAAGTATAAAATGATAGATTTAAAGTAACCACGAACTATAGAAACATACAAGTACAAAAACAATAAAAGTTCAAGATGATAAAATTGAAAGAACAACCAAAGTACGGTCCGAAACACAAAGGTAAAAAAAACAAAAAACAATAAAAGTGCAAAATGATAAAATTAAAAGAACCACAAAAGTAAGGAAGCACAAAAGTAAGGAAGCACAAAAGTAAGGAAGCACAAAAGTAGGGAAGCACAAAAGTAAGGAAGCACAAAAGTAAGGAAGCACAAAAGTAAGGAAGCACAAAAGTAAGGAAGCACAAAAGTAAGGAAGCACAAAAGTAAGGAAGCACAAAAGTAAGGAAGCACAAAAGTAAGGAAGCACAAAAGTAAGGAAGCACAAAAGTAAGGAAGCACAAAAGGAAACCCATATTCAGTCCATTCCTGGGATGTGCTGGTTAGGAAACAGTGGATCTATTCCTGTTTCTCCCCACACAAAGACCCCAGAACCCACACGAGGAACTTGTGTAACACATCCGTTACAACGAGTTGCAGAACCATCTCCAGTATTTTGAGGGTGGGGGAGGGAAGGGGGGAGGATTGTTGCTTTTCTATGCAAATCTATGTTCAGTAGTTTGCTAATATACTTCTTCTTCTTTGCGTTCACCAGCTGTCAACTCTGGTGGAAAGTTCTGGTTGTTCGTCCACTTCTGGACTACAGTCCTGTTCCAGAACCTGAGTGTTGCGTGTGCATCTGTTTGACAGATGACACATTTGTGTGCAGACTGTTGTTTCCTTGCCTCTCAGGCAGATGCACTCCGACTTCAAAGGAAGCTGCCAATTAGTCGACTCTTACAACATGCTTTTGGGTAGGCAGTGGGTCTATTCTTATTTTCCCTATAATAGGGCCCCAGAACCCACGACCGGGTGCCAATATACTGAACGGTTGACTCTAAATACCACTGTCGAAACCAACGCAAGATAGTCTGCTGCCAAATCGCCTGCAGCTGGGATCGAACCCGGCATTATGAAGCACGTTCGCAATAACTAAGCCACAGATACAGTAAACCATCCAGTAAACTGACCTCAAATATTGGCAGTTCGTTTGAATTCCACTGAGCTATCCTGTCTTCACTCAGGTCCACCACTGTCACCTGCAGATTGGGGCACTTGTGGGCAATCACTGCACAGGACGGGCCTCCGACGTAGCCGGCCCCGATGCAGCAGATCTTACTGACTGTCATATTCCACTCTCTGTCGAGACAAAAAACACAAATGCATATTTATTTATCTTCTTCTTCTTCTTCTTCTTCATCGTCATCATCATCATCTTCTTCTTCTTTTTCTTCTCCTCCTCCTTCTTCTTCTTCTACTCCTTTTTCTTCTTCTTCCTTTTCTTTTTCTTCTTCTACTCCTCCTCCTCCTTCTTAGCGTTTGCCGACTGTAAACTCAGGTCAAAAGTTCTAATTTTTGCTTTGCTGAAAATCGTCGCGTTCAGCCAGTATCCCACGAAGGGGGAGCTTTTGGTTATAACTATGACCAGGTTATGTGCGCTATACAAAATGGTATAGCACTTCACATCACCAAAAGCCCTGGTGCAGTGTTGATGCGAAAGGAAGGCAAAAACACAGGGGACAAGAGCTTTCTTCTCAAAGGGTTTAGAACTGGATGCGCGCGCATACAAGTGGAAAAGTCCTGGTTATTCGTCCACTTCTGGACTTTGGACTTGTATCTGGATTGAGTTTTGCGTGCACACCTGTTTTACAGACGTCTTATTTGCGTGCAGACTACTGATTCTTCGCCTCCTAATCGGATACGACTGACCGAAAAGAGCAGGTATCACAGCCTAGCTGTAAGCCAACACAACATGCTAACCGCTCTTTAGAAGGATGAAAGAGGAAGAAGACAAAGAAACCCAGAAAAGAAAAGATGCTCAAATAAGCAATACATTAATGTAAATATACCTTTTTAAATATTTAGAATGTCAGAATCAGAGAATAAGTAAGAACGAAAGGCAGATATAATAAAGAGAGGAAAGGGCGCAGGTATTATGGGGGGGGGGGGAGAAAACGGAAAAGGGAGAATGGGGTAGACATAAAAATTCAGAAATACACCCGACAGACTAAAGAAAGAAGAACGAATTAAATACAGACGGGGTGAGGAAGGGGGTGTTTATATAACTAAAAGGGGGAAAAAGGGAAGACGAAGGAACAAATGGGATGGGTTCTTTGGGGTATATAATAAGGAAATGAGAGCGGATATACAGATATATAAAGAGAGAAAAAGCAGAAAGCAATGACGAAAAAAAAATCGGCTGCTAACAAGCAATGATCTATGTAAAACGATCCACTCTAGGTGTACTTGTAATGTCAAAGGTCACGGCTTCCCCGGGGGCTCACAAGTAGAAATGAGGGAAATTCCCAGGCACGGTATACCCCCACTGGCCCCCTCATCAAGTATATGTTTATATCGAATGTGGCTGATGGCTATCTAACCGCTGTTTTGTCCCGTCCGTTTCCGGTCTCCCTTCCTCACGCCGGTTTGTGTGTCAAGTGTGTGTGTTCTTGTGTGAGTCTGATTATATGTGGTTGTGTGGTAGGGAGGGGCCGTGAGAGATGGATTGGTTGGCTTGCCACCCCCCACCCCCCCTCTCGGGGAAGGTACCGGCCGCCAGACAAGTAAATAAATATATGGTGATCATTTGGATGTGTGGAAGATGTACACAAAGAAACGAAATTGAGCAGTGAGCAAGTCAGTTGAAAGAAACGATCTTATCTCCCCTTTCTCCCCCGACCTCTCCGGGATGCCGGGTTCGATCCGAGGTGCGGGCCATGCGCCTTGCGTTGATTTCGACAGTGGTATCAAGAAAGCCGACCGTCCAGTAAGCAATGGCAAACTACTGGACGTAAATTTGCCTAGAATAACCACACAACAGCCAGGGGCTGTTGGGGTTGGTTCTGCAACGTTCTGTAAAGGAAACGCAACTAACCTCTCCTCCTACCACCACCACTACTTTGTCTTGTCGCCCTCCAATTTCTCCTCCTCAGCTGCCATGTTCCCACCTTCTTACTCTTGCTCAACCTACTTACCAACCTACTACTAACCTACTTACTAACATACTACTAACCTACTTACCAACCTACTACTAACCTACTACTAACCTACTTACCAACCTACTACCAACCTACTTACTAACATACTACTAACCTACTTACTAACATACTACTAACCTACTTACTAACATACTACTAACCTACTACTAACCTACTTACCAACCTACTACCAACCTACTTACTAACATACTACTAACCTACTTACTAACATACTACTAACCTACTACTAACCTACTACTAACCTACTTACCAACCTACTACTAACCTACTTACTAACCTACTTACCAACCTACTACTAACCTACTTACTAACATACTACTAACCTACTTACTAACATACTACTAACCTACTTACTAACATACTACTAACCTACTTACTAACATACTACTAACCTACTTACTAACATACTACTAACCTACTTACTAACCTACTTACTAACCTACTACTAACCTACTTACTAAACTACTACTAACCTACTTACTAACCTACTACTAACCTACTTACTAACCTACTACTAACCTACTTACTAACCTACTACTAACCTACTTACTAACCTACTACTAACCTACTTACCAACCTACTACTAACCTACTTACTAACATACTACTAACCTACTTACCAACCTACTACTAACCTACTTACTAACATACTACTAACCGACTTACCAACCTACGACTAAACCTACTTACTAACCCTACGACTAACCTACTTACTAACATACTACTAACCTACTTACTAACCTACTACTAACCTACTTACTAACCTAACTACTAACCTACTTACCAACCTAACTACTAACCTGAACTTACTAACCCTACTACTAACCTACTTACCAACCTACTACTAACCCGACTTACCAACCTACTACTAACCTACTTACTAACCTACTACTAACCTACTTACTAACCTACTACTAACCTACTTACTAACATACTACTAACCTACTTACTAACCTACTACTAACCTACTTACCTAACCTACTACTAACCTACTACTAACCTACTTACCAACTACTACGACTAACCTACTTACTAACCTACTACTAACCTACTTACCAACCTACTAACTAACCTAACTACTAACCTACTTACTAAACCGACGTTACTAACCTACTTACCAACCTACTAACTAACCTACTACTAACTCTACTTACCAACCTACTAACTAACCTACTGGACTAACCTACTTACTAACCTACGTACCAACCACTTACCAACCTACGGACTAACCCTACTGACCAACCTACTTACTAACTACTTAGACCAACTACTAACTTAACCTACTTACCAACCTACTAACTAACCTACTTACTAACCTACTTACTAACCTACTTACCAAACCGACTAAACTAAGCCCCCTACTGGGACTAAACCTACTACTAACCTACTACCAACCTACTAACTAACCTGACTGTACTAACCTACTTACTAACCTACTTACCAAACCTACTAACTAAACCTAAACTAACCTACTTAAGTGCCAACCTACTAACTAACCTACTACTAACCTACTTACCAACGTACTTACTAACCTTACTACAACCTACTACTAACCTACTAACTAACCTACTACTAACCTACTTACCAACTACTAACTAACCTACTACTAACTACTTACTAACCTACTACTAACCTACTTACTAACCTACCTAACTCTACTTAACTAACCTAACTACTAACCTACTACTACCTACTACTAACCTACTTACGTAACCTACTACTAAACCTACTTACTAACCGACTACGAACCTACTTACTAACCTACGACTGTACGAACCTACTACTAACCTACTTACTAACCCGACTACTAACCTACTTGACTAACCTACCACACTAAAACCTACTTACCTAACCTACTAACCTAACCTACTTAACGGACCTAGACCGACCTAACAAACCGACGAAACTAAACTACGACGAACCTACTACTAACCCAAACTTACTAACCTACGACTAACCTACTTACTAACCTAACCTACCAAACCTACTTACTAACCTACTAACTAACCTACTACTAAACCGACGTACTAAACCTACTACTAACTACGACGAACTAACCTGACCTACTTACCGACGACTAACCTACTAACCCTACTTACTAACCTACTACTAACCTACTTACTAACCTACGACTAACCTACTTACTAACCTACTACTAACCTACTTACTAACCTACGAACTAACCTACTTACTAACTACTGACTAACCTACTTACGACCTACTTACTAACCTAACTACTAACCTACGGAAGAACTAAACCCTACTACTAACCTACATACTAACCACTACTAACCTACTACTAACCTACTACTAACCTAACCGACGAACCTACTACTAACCTACTACTAACCGACTACCTAACCTACTACTAACCTACTTACTAACCTAACTACTAACCTACTTACTAACCTACTACTAACTCTACTACTAACCTACTACTAACCACTTTACTAAAACCTACTACTAACCTACTACTACTAAACCTACACTAACCGACTACTAACCTACTACTAACCTACTACTAACCTAACTTACTAACCCTACTACTACTACCTAACTATAACCTACTTACTAACCCTACTACTAACCTACCCTAACCTTACTAAACCTACTAATACTAACTACTACTAACCTACTACTAACCTACTACGAACCCTATACTAACCTACTTACTAACCTACTACTAAACCTACTTACGAACCTACTACGAACCCTACTTACTAACTACTACTAAACCTACTTACCTAACCTACTTAACCTAACCTAACTTACTAACCTAACTACTAACCTACTACTAACCTACTACTAACCTACTTACTAACCTACTTACTAACCTACTTACTAACCTACTACTAACCTACTTACTAACCTACTACTAACCTACTTACTAACCTACTTACTAACCTACTTACTAACCTACTACTAACCTACTACTAACCTACTACTAACCTACTTACTAACCTACTTACTAACCTACTTACTAACCTACTACTAACCTACTACTAACCTACTACTAACCTACTTACTAACCTACTTACTAACCTACTTACTAACCTACTTACTAACCTACTACTAACCTACTTACTAACCTACTACTAACCTACTTACTAACTTACTACTAACCTACTTACTAACCTACTAC